GCGGAATGCAACGTGAGCTGAGGGGACCTTTCCAGGGTGCCCTCGGCCCCGGAAGCCCCTGCAGCGAGGAAGGGAGTGGATCCAGCCAGGGCACTTCAGAAGGGCAGAAGCACCCTTTCCCCCCGCCCCCACCAAGGCATCTGGCAGGACACTCAGTGGGGCCAGGGGGGGGGAGAATTACCCGACACGGGGCCAGCAATTGGTCGGCGGGGCCGCAACAAGCACGGCAGAGAAGGCAGCACCCAGAGGGGTGGCAGATCAGGCCCGTGATCAGACGACCAGTGGGTCGGCAGAAGTTGCCCCAGAGAAGGCAGCACCCAGAGGGGTGGCAGATCAGGCCCGTGATCAGACGACCAGTGGGTCGGCAGAAGATGCCCCAGAGAAGGCATTCAGAGGGGTGGCAGATCAGGCCCGTGATCAGACGACCAGTGGGTCGGCAGAAGATGCCCCAGAGAAGGCAGCGCCCAGAGTGGGGAAGATCGGGCCCGTGATCAGACGACCAGTGGGTCGGCAGAATGCCCCAGAGAAGGCAGCACCCAGAGGGGTGGCAGATCAGGCCGTGGGTCGGCAGAAGATGCCCCAGGGACTCCAGTGGGAGTCAACCCATCATTCCCCTGTCTGCAGGAAATCCCGCCAAGACTAAGGTCCCGACTAAGGTGGGTCCCACGACCAGTGCCGAAGACTACTAAAACAACCCTCATCCTGCTGTATGCGGGGAAGTAGGACGCAGGGGCACTGGATGCCTACATCCACGCGTACCACCCGGCCCTATCGGAGCACGTCTGGGCAGACATCCACCGGACAGGTGGTCATCGCGGGCAGGACATGCTGACGAACCATACTCCACGATGTGCTCCATGGCCATGGCTGGGAAGGTGGTGGTGGTCCCAACTGCAGGACGTGGAGCATCCTTTGTCCTGGGCAATCACACCGCCAGCAGTTTGATGTGGCCAGTTGACAGATTCGAGTGCTGCCGAGGGTTGTTTTTGAGAACACGAAATCCCTGCAAGCATCCTTTGTCACACGGCCAGCAGTTTGATGTGGCCAGTTGATAGATTCGAGTGCTACCGAGGGTTGTTTTGAGAACACGACATCTTTGCAAGCCTCCTTTGCCTTGGGCAACCACACCACCTGCGCTTTGATGTGGCTGGTTGACAGATTTGAGTGCCGCCGCGCCACCGGCACCTTTGTAGCTTCGCAAGAGGCAAAGCTGCTGCTGCCAGGGGGCGTACCCCCCGGCAGGGGCGACGGGCGAGTCGAGGGCCTGCGGGCCATCCTCGACCGCGGTCGCCGAAAGGAAGAGTTGGAGATTTGGACCACGAGCTGCGAGTGGGAGGACCCCTCGTAGGCGCGACGGGCGAGTGAGGGCCTGCAGGCCATCCTCGACCGCGGTCGTGGCGAGCAGGGGCATGGTTTGGGCAACCGCACCACCGGTGGCGACCGCGGGAGCCATCACCGCGCACGCCAGGGGACAACAACGACAGTCCCTGAGGAGGCAGGCTGGACAACAGGCCTTGGCGGTGATTCTGGGCACACAACCGGCCACAGCTTCCAACAGCCCAGGTGACTACAACCCCCCACAAGCAACAAGCGCCGGGGGGGCTACCCGGGGTACGACTCTACCCTTGCAACTGCGGGCCCAGCAGCGCACACAGATTTCATACCGACCCACGGTCCTTCCGATCACGCATGACCCGAACCTCTCAGACCAGGTCATGTACCTCCAACAACGACCCCTCCGGGATGGGGGAGGAAAGCCCTCTTTGGGCCGCTATCCAAAGTAGCGTACATGGGAGCCAAGATCTGCGTCCTCACAGCGCCTTGGCGGATCGACTCCAGCAATCGCTCTCCATTGGCCTTCCACTTAGACATCTTGCACAGCTTGGAGTGGACATGCAGGAGGTCCCCATGGGCATGGTGGAGGGCCCTCTCTCCAAAGGGGGAGCCAGCGGCTCACTGCAATTGTAGGCCAGCGGATCTCTGCCTGGGTCCCCTGGCGGAAATCGAATAGGGGAACAAGATCCGCACCATCTACGATGTCTCGATCGGGGGCGCCAATGACACCATCCGGAATCAGACAGTGGAGCGGACAACGGCAGCCACAGTTGGATGGGGTGCAAGCCCTTCACTGGCTCCATGCTGCAGCAGAGGAGGGCCCCCCCTGTCTCTGGGTGCCCCCGGCCCCAAGGCGGGGGGCCATGAGCAACAGCCACAAGGGTGGCGATGGCCGGAGCTGGGCACCAAGTGGGTGTTGCTCAAGGCGGATGTGACAAAGGCCCACCGAAGAGTGAAGGTCCTCCAAACGGACTGGCGGCGTCCAGGTGGCTTCCCTGGGGAACGAAGGGTGGGTGAACAAGGTGGGCACGTACGGCATGGCGAGTGCCCAATCCTACTGGCGGCGATTAGCAGCTCTTCTGCTCACGTCCCTCTACTCACTCTTCCCCCTGGTGGACTGAGGCCTTTTTAGGACTTTTGGGGGTTCGATTTCGGCGTTTCTTGACCACTTGGCTACGTTTGGGCCGGCCCCAAATTTTTGAGACGCTTTCGGGAAAGCTTTTCTGGCCAGCAAAGCGTTTGGACAAGTCTTAGCCAACCAAAGAAAGCTCTTGTGCCCAGGGGTTCAACCAGGGCACTTTGCGTTCGTCGATGACTTCCTCTGGCTGCTTCGCAGCAAAGGGGCGGTGGACATGGCGGGGGCGGTGCGGGCTACGGCACCCCCCTGAGTTGGAAGAAGACACACCTGGCGGAGGTGAACACATGGCTGGGCTTTCTGGTCCACCCGAACCTCCCACAGGTCCTCATGGCGGCTAACAAGCACATCCTAGTGATGGAGGTGCTGCAGATCATGGTGGAAGGGCAGGCAAGGCACGCCAAGGAGATTGAGAAGGCCCTGGGTCGCATTCAATGGGCAACGTCGGCCTGCCCGTTGGCAAAGTCGATGCCTCAACCGCTGTGGGCCTGGAAGAGGGCCACCACCACGGTGGGAAAACCACCTCGGGTGGTGAGGATGTTGGCACTCATGCTACGTCACCTCTTCAACACACCATTCATGCAGTACTCCCCCTGCCTGCCGAAATCCTCCTGGCGGGGTTGCGGTGATGCGGGTGCCTCAGACCTGGGCGAGGCGTAAGTGGGGGGCCGGTGCTGCAACATGGTGGAGCCGGAGAAGACAGAGGTCTACTGGTTCCACGAGCAGATCCACAAAGAGGAGTGCCCCTGGGCGTTCTTGGATGGGGATCCCAGACGGTGCATTGCGGCTCTGGAAATGCTGGGCACGCTCTTCCTCCACAACATGATCCTCATCCAACAAGGCCCTATGGCCTCTTGGGTCCGTCTCCCGGCGGGCAGTGACAACCAGGGCAATGTCATGGCCATGCTCAATATCGGGTCCAAGAAGCCCTACACCGCGGCTATCCTGATGGAGTTGGTCTTCCTGCTCCACACACATGGCTGCTCCCTGGCGGCCAATCACGTGCCACGCGAGTTGAACCAATGGGCTGATGAACTGACTCACCCAGAATTCGCTGGTTTCGCTCCGTTGAATGGAGTCCCTAAACAGGAACTCTGCGAAGATTTTACCTTTCTTCCGCGTCTCCTGAATGGAGATGCCTTTGACCTCAGTGTGGGCCCACCCACGCTCCCGTGACCGGAGCCGGTGGGCGACTCACTTCCCCTGGTGGCAGACCCCCTTGAGGCCTGGGTGCCCTCGGCCCCGGCCCAAGGGCGGGCGCTATCAGTCTGCACACCCGTTCTTTGGGATTTGAAAGTTTGGGGTGGGTGGCCCATGGGGCCCACCCAGCCGTGAACATCTGACAGGGGAAGATGAGTCCCTGGCACCAACACAATGCTTGGATAAAAGAGTTATCGCGTGCTTGTGTGGTGTCGTTTGGTTAGCTTACATACACATGAGGAGAGCCACTGCCTTGATTTATAGAAGACTACAGTAAAGCCCGGGTGGAAAGACTTTTTGGGCAACATACTGAATTAGCTTCAAAACGAGGTAGGAACACCCGCAAAACGAGTCAGATCCATGACATATAGGTGGTTGAGATCGGTTGAGATCACAAACACATGCCGTGTTGGAAAATCAGATCAATGAGTCCACAGGTGCAGGGTTGGAGAACAAGGTGGGAACACCCAACCATTCAACCATGTGGCAGATAGCTGCGATAGCTCATATATGTATAAATCATACACGTGTAAGTCACCATCATCCAAAAGTTGTGTGTGCATTTGCATTTGCTTAGCCCCTTGCATTTTGCCCGAGAAGGGGGACCCCGGGTTTTGGGCGAGCTGTTACCAGGGAAACCAATACCCAAACTGGCCCTTTTTGCATGGCACCTTGAAGACTCTACTGTATTTTTGCAAGCACCACTTTGGGGTAAAACATCAACATCCGCACGCAGTGCAGCCAGGATGATGCAGACTGCTCAATGGACAGCTTTGGGGGTCAAATTTACTTCCTTGGAGGAGAAAGAAACCCGGACTCTACCAGGTCCCTTCCCCCAAGGGAGGGAAAGCATGCAGCTGGTGGAAAACTACATGGCCAAATTAAGCGCATGGCAATTGACCAAAAAAGATTCTGCCTCCAAACATCCCCTGAGATCGTTGGTTTACCTTCACTTTTCTCTCGAGAACCACCCAACAAGCGGATACCCTCAAGAACCTACACACCCATGTTAACAACCCAATGATTAAGGGGTTAATGAGAGTTGGCAGGGCCAAACCAGGCCATCCGGCCGGGTGTCTTCGGCTGTGGTGTGGGTCCTTCGATCTAAAGTTTGAAAGTCTCCCCCCCTGAAAAGCTACTAACGCTCAAGGTACCAAAAGACCCTCTGGGCTGATAAGCCATGATCCCTGCTGGAAGGGGACCCTGTTTTTGGGCCTTCAACTTTTTTGTAGAGTATATGTCAAAAAGGTCGGATGGGAGTTGAACAAATCAAGCTTTTCCCGATTGGAAAGCTTGCATTTGCTGAGCTGACCCAAATTTACGAGCGTAGGTCATCACCGGAGATCTCTGCGCGAGAGACTTCGTGGTTCCCTGCACCGGCCAAGGCCTTTCGCCGCATCTTGGCTAAGGTCGCATTTAATAAGTTGCTTTGTAAAGGAATGGTGAGAAACACTAACTTTTGACTAGATCTCTTCAACCGGGTCGAGCTTCAGTTTTTGTGTAGGGGGTCACATACCTCAGCTTCTTTTTCTTAACGAGGGGGCACAGATTGGATTTTCTCGAATGACGTCTGGGTTCGTCTCAAGAAGAAATCCGAAACGTGGCAGTCCACTCTGAGGTTCTCAGTCTCTGAGGCTCCGCTTTGAGGTTGGGATTTTTGTTTGTTCAGCTGAGCCCGCAAAGTTGTTTTTTTTGTTTTTGCCTGGCAGGCCTGGGTTGGTTGGTTGGTTGGTTGGTTGGTTGGTTGGTTGGTTGGTTGGTTGGCTGGCTGGCTGGTTGGTTGGTTGGTTGGTTGGTTGGCGGGGCGGTCGGTGGGTGGGTGGGTTTAGGGTTTAGGGTTGGTGGGTTGGTGGGTTGGGGGCTTGGTTGGTTGGTTGGCTGCGTTGGCTGGTTGGTTGGCTGGTTGCGTGGCTGGTTGGCCTAACCCTGGCACAGCCTGGCGCGCACGAAAGGGCGGCATCTAAGTGTACAATTTAGGTTAGGGTCAGTTAAGGGTGGGTCAAGGGCGGGCTTAGGGCAGGCTTCGGGTAGGATTAGGGTCGTAACCCACCCAAAACCTAGCCTAAACTAACCCAAAGCCGACCTGAACCCTACCCGAAGCCTACCACAAGCCCGCCCTTGACCCACCCTTAACCGACCCGAAGCTTAGCACAAACCTACCCTAAACCTACCCTAGGCCTACCCGAAACCTACCCGTAGCCCACCCTAAATTGTAGAACGCCGCGCTTTTGTGCGTGCCAGGCTGTGCCAGGCTTAGGCTAATGCCAGGGCCGCGCAAAAATCAACACCTCGGCCGGCTGAGCCCTTGACAACCAGAATGAACCCAAGAATGAATCCCTGTCTGATGTTTGGGTGGTATGCAACAGGGGACTTGGATTATAGCAGCATGGCGCGAACACCCCAATACATAAACCTCCAAGAGGAATCCTGCCGTAGTCCCACCAGTTTAGGTGTTTCGCACTTCACGTCGTACCCCTGATTGTGCACCGCGACCCCTCCACAAGCCCACAAAGTGCAACCTTGGCAAAGCAACCCAAAAATGGTATCGTCAAAAACACATGTTTCTTGGTCAAAGGAAAACTAGAACGACCGAAAACGTCACACATTGTTCTTGGTCAAAGGGAAGCTATACGCCATATCATCACCCTTTTGCGCCGTCCATGCTGCCCTTCTGTATGACAAGCTCTTCCAACAGGGTGGGTTCGGAGTTCGGTATGGGTATGGTCAACCTCGGATGAGCAAACCTCGGTGGATTGTGAGGGCCTGAAAGGTGATCCGGATCCACCCTCATCAAGGCAACCAGGGGTTGAAACTAATCCTGGGTCGGAGGAAAACCAGCAGAAATGGGAACACACACACACACAACAGACAACAATGTTTTTTGTCAAAGGGAAGCTGAACAAACCACTCAAACAACACGGAAACATTGTGTGTCAAGGGAAAAGAAACAGCAGGGCCATAGAATCTTTATCCGCCCAAAGTCCGCATGATCCTGCAGCTGATTTCGATCCAAATCCTTGTGGTTCTTTGGATGTTGATAGGGAATCTCCCTGGAAGCGGCTGGTCGACTTGTTTTCCAGGAATTCAAATTCCTATGCTGGGGAACCCTCACATTTTGAGTGAATGGTTGGTTTCCCAAACCCACCACCCCTAGGGTAGCCTCAAAAAATCGAAGCCGTGTAGCCTGGACTCGGACTTCCGAGGGCTTTGGAGTTCTCGGAGACCAAGCTGGACCTGGCTTCCATCCCTGTGAACTCCAGCAGCCGGGAGTCGGTGATCGTCACCAACGTGTCCAAGGCGAGGAATTGATTGAGCCGCACGTGGGTTTTTGCATGTTGCTCAGTTATTTTTGGTTCCCCGGTGTTTTGGGAGGGAACCAACCATAAGAAGGATGGTCTCTTTTGGATGGTCTCTTTTGTTTCCCCGTTACTGGGCATTTGAGGTTGTGTGCGGTGTGTGTTGCAACGAGCTCGGAGAGGTTGGGGGCTGCCTTTACCAAGAGTTCAACTGAGGTTCGTTAGAACCCTGCATGGATTTTGGTGCGGCCCTGGTCGCATGTCAGACCTTTGCAGAGACCTCGGCCGTTCCACCACGTGTGTGTTTTTGGATGTTCGATGGTTGCGGGGCTCAGCTTCAATGAAGAGCGACAAAGTTGTACTGTTTTCTTTGGTGCAGTAGGTAATAGTGAGGGTTATGGAAAACTGGTCAAGTTGGGGAGATTATAAGTCAATGCAACTGCGTGCTTTTCCCACTGGCTGAAGCAAACATTGGAAATATACATAATTTACATAATTTATGTAAGCACGACAAATCACATGCGACGTGCGAGGGGCCCTTCTACTTCCCTTTTGGGTGGCTCAAACATCACCTTTGGGCTGACAAGTGATGAGGTGAGTCTAAAGGGGGCAATGAGTTTTGTATTTCTGGAGGTCCGTTCCCATTGTTTGATCCAGAGCCAGGGCGTGACGGGTGTGTCCTGCTTCTGGTCCGGAGAACAAAGCCCAGGTGAGGGATGTGCAGAGGTCCTGTTTGGGACCCTTTTTGTTACCCTCCGAAGGGACAATTGGCAGTCGCTCAAAGAAAGAACCTTGACAAGAGCACCCAAGGGGCCACCAGCCTTTTTCAGCACTTTACGCACATTTCCCAAGAATCCGCGGGACGGCCCCCAATGTCCCCACGTCCTTTTCTGGAATGAGAATACGATCCAAGGGTCTTTTTCAGGGCACCGTCAACGTATCTTTGCCTCGGCTGCCAGCGTATCGAAGGACTTCGGTTGAGCTTTGAACCAGTTGTTGAGTGGCATGACTTGTCCCGTGTGGTTGGTGACTTCTCTACTAAACATGGTGAAGGCCGAGAAAAGGGTTCCCTTTTTTACCAGGGTCACTAAACAACTGGATTTGACCTCAGTTTGTGCTTGTTGTTCTCTGGCCTGCACTGCATGTGCATTGTAGCAGTCTAGCAGATGACCAGTTTCTGTGTCATTTGTTGATTTTTCGTGCTTCGCAGAAAGAAAAAAGGGTGTGTGTGTGTGTGTTGTGTGTGTGTGGGTGTGTGGGTGTGTGTGTGTGTGGGTGCGTGTGTGCGTGCGTGCGTGCGTGCGTGCGTGCGTGTGCGTGCGTGCGTGCGTGCGTGCGTGCGTGCGTGCGTGCATGCGTGCGTGCGTGCGTGCGTGCGTGCGTGCGTGCGTGCGTGCGTGCGTGCGTGCGTGCGTGCGTGCGTGCGTGCGTGCGTGCGTGCGTGCGTGCGTGCGTGCGTGCGTGGGTGTGTGTGTGTGTGTTTGTGTTTGTGTTTGTGTTTGTTTTTGTGTTCGTGTTCGTGTTCGTGTTTGTGTTTGTGTTCGTGTTTGTGTTTGTGTTTGTGTTTGTGTTGTTGTGTGTGTGTTTGTGTTTGTGTTGTTGTGTGTGTTTGTGTTTGTGTTTGTGTTTGTGTTTGTTTTTGTGTTTGTGTTTGTTTTTGTGTTTGTGTGTGTGTTTGTGTGTGTGAGGCAAAAGCAATATCGCGTGAACGCTTGTGCTTACCTCATTGCTTGTTGACATGTCTAAGTAGGAGCGGCCTTTCGATACCAGCCACTTATGAACATTCAAAGGGGGTGCTTGTTTCGTGTGGACTTTCCACACAGCCGGTAAACTATGACCGGCTTATGAATGCGGGATTCCTTTTTTCCTTGGTCTCTCTCATGGCTTTTGAAGCCATCATGGCAGGTGCCGCAGTCCATCAACTTGCTGATGCCAGAATACGAGCTCAGTGCTTTGGTCGGAGGGCGAAGGGGTGGATGAAGAGTCTCATTACACCATGGCATCCCCTGGAAGCCTCTTTGATAGTACCATCACAGCCCCAAATCATGTATGGAAGGAGGTGTACGCCAAAGAAACACGTCCCCCATTTTCCCTGTGTGCAAGCGAAACAATCAACGGAGGGGTCACGCTTTTCGCAGATCCATGCGCTTAGGCTATAAGAATGAACTGATGATCAGTCACGATCTGTTCGTTGCGAATGCATTAGCTTAGCTTTGCTTTGCTTGCTTCGCTTTGCTTCGCTTGCTTCGCTTGCTTTGCTTGCTTTGCTTGCTTTGCTTGCTTTGCTTGCTTGCTTGTCTGCGCTCTTGCTTGCTTGTGTGCTTGCTTGCTTGTTCTTGTTTCTTCTTAATTGTTGGTTGTTTGCTTGCTTGTTCTTTGGTTGGTTGTTTTATGTTTGTTTGTTTGTTGGTTGGTTGGTTGGTTGGTTGGTTGGTTTGGTTTGTTTGTTTGTTTGTTCCTTTGTTTGTTTGTTCCTTCGTTTGTTTGTTCGTTATTTTGTTTGTTTGATCGTTTGATTGTTTGTCGGTTTGTTTTGTTGTTTCTTTGTTTGTTTTTTTGTCGCGAGTTTGTGTGTGTGTGTTATTTCTTTCTTTATGTCTGCCTTTATTTCTTTCTTTCTTTCTTTCTTTCTCTGTGTCTGTTTCTTTCTGTCGTTTTTCTTTATGTTTCCTTCTTTTTCTTTGTTTCTTTGTTTCTTTATTTCTTTCTTTCGTTCGTTCGTTCGTTTGTTCGTTCTTTGTGTGTTTGTTTGTTTGTTTGTCAGTTTGCCTTATTGCTTGCAGTGTGTTTGTTGTGCTTGTATGTTTGGCTGGTTGCTTGGTTTTGTTGGTTTGATCGCCGAAATCCTGATTGTTTGCTAGTGATGTGGGGAGAAATGTGAGACGTGATGTTGGTTGAACTCATGTTGACCCTGCCTGCAATTGAGCCTCAGCAGATGTTCAGCCCAGTTTCTTAGTGGTGGGTAACTTAGCTGCAGGTATCCTCGCACGCTTGCTGCTTGGGAATTCACAAGCGGCTAGCACAACAGCTTTGCGCCCAGGTGTGTGTTTACCCGGAGCCCCCAACACGTTGCAAATACTTTGCGGTTGAACGAATCCCGTGACTTCTTTCAATGTTTGCAGGGAACCTTTTTGGGAACCGAGCCTCAGGCAGCCAGTGTAAAAGGGGTGTGTAGGAAGCAGGGGTAGGAGCAGTTTTATGGTGAATGCACTCCACAGTCATGGACCTTCAAGGCTATAACGGGCGGCTATGACCTATTATATAGCCCTCGGCCATGTTGGTTCAGGGCTTATCCTCGGCTTATCCTAGGCTGATGCAGGGATTGCCCCTTGGTCCACAGCTCAAGGACAGTGACAGGCCATCCAATCTCCCAGTTGAAAGCGGCAAACATCTATACCCCTTATATAGTGGCTATAAGAGGGTTCGCTATGTTGCTTTTGGGTGAAGACAATGGTTCAAGCCAGGACCCTCCCCCAGTTCAGAGGTCCCTATATATCATATCATAATATCATATCATTTACTTTAAGCTACTTGTAGGTTGGGGAGGGTCCTGGCTTGGTCCCTATACTTTAGAGCCTCCGGCTCAGTCCGCCGACATTGTCCTCTCCCTTTTCTCCTTCTTCCCTCTCCCTTGTCTCCCTCGTGCGTTCTGTCGTCCTCTCTCCCTCCCTCTGCTCCCCATTCTCCCCATCCCCCCAAGCCTCTCTCTCCTCAATCTCCCACTCTCTCTCTCTCGCTGTCTCTGTTTCTCTGTCTCTTTCTGTCTCCCTGTCTCCTTCCTGTCCACGCCCCTCTACAGAAAAAGGGCACCCTAATTCGAACCTCTCTACTCTCTCACTTTCTCGCTCTTTCTCTTTCTCTTTCTCTCCCTCTCTCTCTCTCTCTCTCTCTCTCTCTCTCTCTCTCTCTCTCTCTCTCTCTCTCTGTCTCTCTCTCTCTGCATTGCAGCGTCACGTCCCCCCCTGAGTTGCCTCGATGTCCGGGCACTGCCCCTGCATGACCCTGAACTGTCATCTCACTACTGGCTTTCCCCCTTCATGTCCTTGTCACGTTTCCCATGATGTCCTGGTCCTGTCCCTTCCATGCCATTCAGCCCCCCCTTCATGTCCCTGACATTTTCTCGGTATGTCCGCTTCATTTGCCATGTATGTCCCGTTCTTTCGTTGCGAGTCATTTCCCTACATCTCCCGTCGTGCTTGGTTTCCTTGTGCTTTGTTTCCTCTCCTTCCCCCTGCACTCCCCTTGTTTTCATTTCTGTCCCTTGCATGTCCCTTTCAGTTCCCCTTTGTTTCCCTTTCATGTCCCGCTGCTTTCCTGTCATGTCGACTTCCTATTTCCTCCCCTCATTTCACTTGCACTTCCTTGCATTTCCCCTCTGCTCCCCAATATTTCCAGCAAAAAAACACGGGTTTTCCAGCGTTTTCACAATTAGGACGTCCAAAAACACAGAGTTTTTCCAGATTTTCTGCAAAAGGAGGCAGGAACCCCAAACCAGCAAAGAGCCGGCAGGGGGAATCGAGCCTGGGACCCCTGTTTTGCGACACCGGCTCCCCGAAGACTACGTTTAGTGGAACGTCATCAAATTGCCGCGCGGTCCTTGGGGGGGGGGGCCCCCCCCCCCCGCACGTATCAGACGTCGGGCGGGGGGGGGGGTAAGGGGGGGGGGGGGTTATCCTCTATCCTCTCTTAGGTGTCCGACACGCCGAGCAATGTCGGCGGATATCAGACCATAATATCATATCATATACGTAAAGCTAGGTTGGGGAGGGTCCTGGCTTGGTCCCTATATATCAGACCACTTTAAGCTACTTGTAGGTTGGGGAGGGTCCTGGCTTGGTCCCTATATATCAGACCATAATATCATATCATTTACGTAAAGCTAGGTTGGGGAGGGTCCTGGCTTGGTCCCTATATATCAGACCACTTTAAGCTACTTGTAGGTTGGGGAGGGTCCTGGCTTGGTCCCTATATATCATATCATAATATCATATCATTTACTTTAAGCTACTTGTAGGTTGTACTTTACCTTTTCAGCCAATTTCTTGGTGGGGTAGTGTTTTTAAGGGACACATAGGGAACCTGGTAGGTGTGAGGAGAAATGGGCGGAGCTCAGGCACTTTGAAGGCCACGCCGGTGTGCTGCACATTGGCGCCGCAAGAGTCCAAGCGCCTGCAGATTGAGTTCAAGCCCTCGCAGGACGGACCACTTTGGATTGTCCAACCCCAAGAGGCGTCGACTTCAGGTGTTTTGAAACCGCACGCCGAAAGGCAAAGTAACTGGATGTTGCATCCCCCCAAAGTAATGTGCGGAAAGGGCCCAATAATGGCGCGGACTCATGGCGGGGCCTTACCCCGTAGCCCTGGGTCCTTCCGAAAGCCACATGGCACTGGCACTGCTTAGAACCAGACTAAAACCGGCGCTTCGCACCGGTGGTTTACCCCAGGATGTCCCGTGGCAAGAGACGTTGACCTTTGAGCCAAGGAGTTTGTGGATTTGCTGAAGCTTCCGCCCAAGGAGGCGAAGCCGGAGGAAGCGGCCGAACCTGGCCCGAAGCGAGGGTTTAGGCTGTTGCCCGGGCCAGGTAGAATCTAGTTAGGTATTTTGGCCCTAGTTGAGTGAACCCTGCTGTTCTTTTTGGGTTCGGAGTTTCTGTTGAACAACCGAATCGCAGGTCTGTTAGCCCTATGTGTCCAGCTATCCGTTTTGCTGTTAAACTCAAGGGCTCTCAACAGTCAACGGTTGTTCGCGATCAGTTCACCCTGACCCATCGATCCCCTAAATGTTGTGTTTAGCTGTGTTGCAGCAGACCGCCCTGTTAAGCTCAAAGTCAGAACGCACAAAGCCAACAGCAGTGCAGGGTTGCTCGATTCGAGCCCTTCTATCACAATGGTTTGGTTTTAGCTCTCCGTTGGTTTCCTTGGTCGTCCTTTGGTTTTTTCCCTTTCCCAACGAGATTACCTGCCCTGCCGATGGGGTCTGCCAAGGATGAAGACGCGGCGGAAGAAGAGGATCCGGAAGCGGAAGCAGAGGAGCATAGGCTTCCTGGACAGAACGAGCTGCGGCAGTCCTCAATCCCTACCTTGGGTTGCGAAAGGCTTCCCCCTTCTAGGTCCCCCAGTAGTGCTCTTTTACCCCTTTTTTTGGGGGAGGGTTCCCTTGCTAAAATAGACTACAGAAAAAGGTTGGTACCCTTATTCTAACCTCTGTACTGGAGGACCTAGCCTTTGTAGTGGTTTTTCAGTAGGGATTCAGGATTCGGATTGGCCAACAGGCCATTTTGAACTGCCAGAAGAGTGCTTTCCTTGTCGGTTCCTGGAAATCGAGGCGGTACAATAAACATCACAAACACAGGCAATGTAGCTGGATATGTCCAAAAGAACTCACTGAGTGTCCCGCATTGCTGAAGTGAGGCATCCTTCAAACTTCAAACGGCTTGCCAAATGTGAGTTTTGAAGCGGGTGGATGACGACCATATAGCTGGCTGCTTTTTGGGGACGAATAGCAAATGAACAGGAATTGGTTCTCTATTTTAGCACAGCACGGTCAAACGAACAAACGTACCAGCCAATTTGGGTGGATGACAACCATAGGGCACCATGTCGGCCTGGGCCATTGAGTGAGAGAGAGAATGTGAGGCGAGGATTGTGTGGACGATGTTCAATGATGATTGCGTGCGACTGCAAGCCTGCGATGCCATGTTCGACTGCCACTCGGGCTCCCCTCCTTGGCCCATGTTCAAAGGACACCCAAGTATTTGGAGGCAATTCCAGGTTTGGAAAAATGCTTTGTGAAGGAGCTTTCAACAAGATCAATTTCACGGGTCCAAAAGTCATCCTCAAAGGGTACCAAGAAACAGTTTGTGATTTCGGCTTTCGGATCAATTGACAGGCGCCACCTGCTGACCGACATCCGTATGCACGGAGGTCGGCGATGGCAAGCAGAGGCGAGACCGGAGGGACGATCCGGCAGTCTATGGTTTTGACAGAAATTATTGGGGAACTCCTTAAATGTCCAAAGGCCAGGAGGAATCACTCCTTTTCCACTATTGGGGCTACAGCCGATTTTGGCTGGCGCATGCTTTAACAAGAGGAGGCCAAAAGGAAATCCATTCTTCAGGTTGCCACATTTTGAGACAACCCAATGTAGAACCTGAAGGCTTTTTGCCTGGCACATTTGTAAGAGAGATGGGGTGCCCATTGCCAGGTCGAGCAATTTGATTTTTGAATTGACCTTTATCATTGCTCGGGTGAGCCAGCACCCACCGCTCCCAACATTGGGATAGGGTTTCAGGAAGGGCTGCAAAACTCAGTTCTTCTTTGTTGGATGAGGCGTTGATCACGGTCATCCACTGCAAAGATATGACATTGATCACACTCACAAAATACCGCTTGAAACAGGCTACTCACCAAATTCCCATGTTGCTTGGAGACACCGGGAAACCAGCATTTTGGGTGTATTTCCCACGTTGAGATATTCGCTGTAGACCCTGTTTTACTTGACAACTGAACGGACATCAATGGTTTCGGGTATCCCTGAGCCGCGCCATGTTTTACTGTTCATACACAATCCTTCGTTCCTTGGTGTAGTGGTTTTTGGGGATTCTATTTATCAGTAAAGTCAGGTCCCAGTTTGACACCCCAGGTCTATGTGTGTGTGTGTAGGCATGTTTGTGTTTGAGGGCATCCGGTTGACCTTGGTTCAAAGGGAATTAACAAAAGGTAAAGCCTCGTTGGGTTCCCAATTCCCGTTTGACACGCTTATATGAGGGTTTCTCAAAATGAACCCCCCCTTTGGTTCGTATTGAACGGGAGACCCAACAAAATCCACCCCTTTGAGGGGACCGATTCCTATTTGACTTTTGACAACCGTTTCTCAGAATAGGGCAATCTTTTGTTTTTTGCTTTTTCGCTGGCGTGCCCTGGATGATCTCAGGGCGGCACTGTGCACAGCTCCTGGCGCCTGCCTATTTGCTTCCGGCCTGCGCACCTCGGCAAACAGCTCACCAATGCGAGGTACGAGCAGAAGCCTTGCAGGTCACTTGGGGATGCCTTGCAGGGTATGGAAGATTGCACGATGACGCTCAATCTGGAAACAGATATATAAGATCACCTGAGCACCGTTTTGTATGCACGGGACAAGTGCATGTCATGCATGTTGCATGCCGTTGTATCTATATATATATATATAAATATTGTATGCATGTTGTATGCTGTGTATGCAATTTTGGATTTTGCATGGATACCCTACAAACGCATACACCGCGCGTACACAATGCATAAACATCGCATACAACTTGCATGCAGCATGTTGGTTTTTGTGTGCCTTTTGTATGCAATTTGGCTCTGGGGCAGATTGCATTTTTGTGTGCACTTTGTATCCATGTTTAAAGCTCTGGCATGCCTACCTTCGAACCTGCAAAATCAAGAAAACTGAAAAGAACGCACAAAAGTGCGAGTGAGGCGTATGTTCTTCACGGCACACGCATGTTGAGTGCTTCTTGTTTGCATTCGGTATTCACATTGTGCACGAAAGGCATACGGCATGCATGCAGCATGCACTTTTGCTCCGTATGTTGTATGCATTCTCGACTCTGGCATGGCTACCTTCAAAACAGCACAAGGAAACTTGCTATGCAAAGACGTACAAATACGAGACGAGTGCATGTTATGCATGGTTCATGCAAGTTGCATGGCTTCTGAAATGTGAACTGATTTGTAAAACAGATTCAATTAGAAAACTATTTTGTAGAATTTAATCTGAAATACACTGCTTGTTATAAAGATTATCATGCTCCACAGAAGTTGTGTTTCCCTATTGTATTCTATTTAAATCTCAGTTGGAAATGGAGTAGGATTTGATAGAGATATATTACGCATAATTTTGTACGGGCAGAAGTCAGAGGTACAAGCATACTTTTTTGCCTCGCCTCCAGCACTACCATGGTCAGAAAATGCCGCAAAACAGAGTATATTGTAACGTGCTTCGTACTAAACTGTTAAAAGCGCTGCAACTTGGGGTGGCAGTTCCCAATCTTCCCGTGGGGAGCGTGTGTGTGTGTGTGTGTGTGGGTGCGTGTGTGTGTGTGTGTGTGGGTGTGTGTGTGTGTGGTTCTGACAGAGGTAAATCCCTGGCCTTGCCCAGCCCCTGGTTGAATACATCCATTACCGCAGAGTTGCCCTGGTTCTAAGCACCTTTCCTGCAGGGTTGCGGGTGCGCGGGGTGTGTGTTTTTCTGACTATACTAATCACCTTCGCACCAACTGCAGCAGGTCCGTTCTTGATTGGCCATGGACGCATTGACAGCTTTGGATTCCGCAGCTCGAAGACGGGCTTCTGGTCTATCCCGGCACTTGTACTAGGTCCCCCAGTACTGCCCTTGTACCCCTTTTTTGGGGGAGGGTTCCCCTACTAAAATAGACTATATACAGAAAAAGGGTACCCTTATTCTATCCTCTCTACAGGAGGACCTAGTATAGGTTTTTGCCCTGAGAAGTGCCTCAGGCCGGGTTTTGCCTAAGTTGCATTCCAGTTTGTCCTGGCCCGCAAGCTGTTTCTGCAGGAGTGGGGAAAGTTCACTTTGCCAGCAATCGGTATGGGCAAAGCGAGCTCAACGAGAGGCAACACTAGCTCAGGCACGAAGGCTTCTAGTTTGGTCCCCTATTGCGAGTTAGGGAACTTCAGTAACTTGCCCAGGGTACAGATGTTGGTTAGAGCGAGTCTGACGATGTTTAGCCAAGCACATCTTGCACACTGGAGATGATCCATGTTCAACACACGGCCCCGCCTTTTTCTGGACGCTTGTGCGACCCATTTATCAAAGGGAACATACTTGGACATTGGTTCTCGTGCCGTTTTCGGCAGCTCAGGAGCTTACGAGATACTCGGGATCAGATGGTCTTCCTGGGGGTGAACACATGCACCCGTGCTGCAATGGGGCGCGCTTGTCTAATTCAAGTTTGCAACTGATCAAAGTCCCCGTCCTTTTTGAGGCCCCTGCTTAAGTCATTAGGCATCAATCTCTTTTGCCGCCCCTAAGTTGCGTGTGGCTGCTCTCGTCCCAAGCTCTGCAAAGGCAAGCTCTCGGAGCAGACTGCAGTTTAGCTCTCGGAGCCGATTCGGGAGCACCAGCTTGTGGTCCTTGAAGGTTTAGTTGAGGATCTCATTCTTGTCGAATAGCATTGCTCTAGAGGCTGATTCCAATTCCATTCTTTTCAACCATCGTTCTTTTTAATAACCAGATCCGTTTCCCTGGGTTTCTGAAGGTTTTCTAGAAAGAAGGATTCCTGGAAAGAATGGGGAAGGTACCCCTAGAATTGCAGAGGAGTTGGCATATTCTGCTGGCTTCTCCCTGCAAGCGCTGATTCACTCCTTGGAGTCACAACTTGTGTTGGCAGAGGCGGAAGCCCGGATATTGCCAAAGGCCAAGGCCGATTCAGGCACGTGAGTGGCTGTGTTCCTCAGTGACTGAGTTCGACACATTTGAAGGGTGCTGACCGCCATGTCAACATGTAGGGCTGAGATGCTCGAGGCTCCCAGCCCGCAGATGCAGCGATGCAGCAGAGCCTCTGACTATGTTTTTTTCAGAATTGGCGAGAGACTAACTTCTCACTCTGCCCCAAGCCCCCCAAAGCAGTCGATAGGTTTCTGCAAACGGAGGAGAGTCGTGGTGTGACGGTTGTATTTTGAGTTAGCAGCTGGCTCAGCTGCCATGGCTGATGCGCCTCTAAGCATGGCCTTGGCACCTGCACCCTGGATTTCCGCTGCTTCGACGACATGCGCCCGGGCTGCGCGCATCCCGCAAGGGCAGCCCGGACATTTTGGGCGTGTTTCTGGGCAGGTGGTCGCGGTGCTCGCAGCGAGCGTGTACCAAAGGCGTGTGGCCAGAAGAGCAATCAGCACCATGCGGCAGCGTGAGGAGACTCAGTTGGGTGTGGCTCAAAATTAAACAGGAGGGGTTACGCAGGCTTTGGTCCATGTTTCCACTTGCCAGGGTTCCATTTTGGTACCGGTTTTTTGAGCCACAGCCATTTGGGCCAATTTGTCCGGTTTGGTGTTTCATCGATTTTTGGCACATGGACTCGTTGGGCCTTGCTATTTGACAAGCAGGCACTGGGAATTGTGTTGAGGGGTGTGGGGCAAGATGTGGCATCACGAAGCACCTGGCCCTGCAGGGTTTGCCTTTTTAAACAGCCACCCTGAAAGTGTAGAAAGCCTGATAACAAACAATCCCTTTATTTCCCACAAAGGCGGTGAAATTCGAATCCTGTAGCCGTGCTCTTCCCCGTCCCTGCTTGTTTTCCACAAAAAAAACTGGAACAGAATCCAAATCTTCACATGGGCAAAGTTATCCAAAGTCGACCCTTGTTTGCCTTTTGGCGTTTTAAGTTTCTATGGGTTTGTCAAGGTCCTGGGTAAGAGGTGGACCTTTGATCTGATCCTAAATGAGTTCCAGGAACACATTGCCATGATTGTCCTTCGATTCGCCCAAGCTGAAGCCCATTTGATTCGCCATACGGCTCCACGTCTCCCGGTCCTTACCGGACCGCTTGGGTCTCCGATAGGAGAAGCGCGAGCAGCGGCGGCGGTGGCTGAAGGGCCTGGAGGAGATGCGACCAGAGGAGATGCCTCCTGAGGTGCCGAGCGGCCCATCCCCGGTCTTCGCCGCTGCAGCGGAGGAGCCGCCTTTTTCACGTGCCGAGGGCCCGCCGTTTTGTTTTTCTTGTTTCCTTTAAGATAAGCTACCAGAAAAAAGGAGTGCCCCTTTTGTTCTAATTGTTTTTTGCCTTCAAGATCAGCTACAAAAGGAGTGTCCCTTGTTCCCACCACTGGGCTGCGACATCAATTGACTTAAAATCAGCTGGCGCGGGGTGAAAGGTGTTCAAGGGGTACGTGTCAATCTAGGGCAAACACCAAGCCGAAACCCCACAGGGCTGGGAATCCCCTACCCCCGCCCCAAACTAGCAATGTTCCTGTTGATGTCTCTTTTTGGACCAACCCCAAATAAGGGAACCCGCAAACACACACACACAGAGACACAAGCACACACGCAACCACATACACACAGATAACGCACAGAAGCAAGCAAACAAGCGAGCGAGCAAGCAAGCAAGCAAGGAATCAATTAAGAACGTAAGAAAGCAATCAAACAATCAACCAATCAAACAATCAAACAAACAAACAAACAACACACACACACACAAATAACCAAGCAAATAAACAAACGCCCGCACTGACACAGACACAGACCGCAGACACAGAGACACGCAGAGAGACACAGAGCCACACACACACACACACACAAAAAAAAAACGTGTTCTCTTCATGTTTGGTGGCTTCCCGGCTAGTGACCGACCCCAAAGAGGGCTCCGTTGTTCTACCAGGATGACTGGGCAACTGGCAGTTGGTGGAGAATGGGCCAGCGCTTTCCTTTAGTTGCCCTTTGGGGCTGCAAATTCTATCTTCCCTTGTGCGGATGGGGTTGAGGAAGGCTTGAGTTGGCAACAAATTTGGCAAATGACATCAAAAATAACTTCAATGTCAAGAAACGCTCCCCAATCTTTCCTAGGATCCCCCTCCAATTTCCGCAAACCCTAGTGATGTCTTGCCCAGAACCAGGGAAAAAGCGCAAAGTAAAAGGGGAAAAAGAAACATGGGAAGCGAATCAAGCCCTTCATTTTTTAGGGGTAAAGCAAACAGCTGCACCAGGTGGGATGGATGAAACCCTGGGATCATCAACCTATCCAGGGGTGCGGCTGATGTTCATACCCCTCTCCCACAAAGGGGTATATACTTCTAAGGTGGGTTGGACACCAGGGAAGCCCAGGGCTATGAACAAGTATGCGCTTCCAGCCTTAGAACCTACATGAACCTACCAACGTTGAGGAGGCCCCGCAGTCGAAGGGCCGGAAGGGTCCGGAGCCCTTGGACTGGGAGAACCCCGGGCTGGACGTCTTGGAGAAGGCGCGCATCGCCGCCGAGGATTGGGACGGCTGGGACGAGGCGGGGATGCGAACCGTTGCTCGAAACCGCTGGTCTCGTGGCTGGCTTTAAACTCATCCTTTTGGGCTGATTTTCGGTGAGTTCGTTTGTGGTGATGTTTAAAGGCGGCACATATATATATATATATATACACATATATTTTTCTAGATATGTATATATATATATGTATATATAGGGAAGTTGAATTGCCTCAGGGTTTGCGGGACAGTGTTTCAAAAGACCAACCCTGACCCTGACCAGGGAAACCACCAGTTGGATGGTTTCTAGGAGTCATTCCATTTCTCATTCCCTGCATCTCTCGCACCAGCAAGAATAGGACCACTCAATTTTCTCTAGGTTGACTCAGTAGTGCCCTTTTGCCCTTTTTTGGGAGAGGTTTCCCCTACTAAAATAGACTACAGAAAAAAGTTGGTAGCCTTATTCTAACATCTCTCTACTGGAGGACCTAGTCTCCATCCGTTGGATTCAACTTCCCCGCGGCTTGAGGACTTTGCCACCGACCCCGCGGCCAACTTCGGCACGGACGACTTCATCCCGCTGCCGGGGGCCTTCAAGAAACGCCGCGCCCAGGCGGAGCCGCCCCAGGCCATCAAGGAGTGAGTGACGGGGGTTCCCACGGGCGATGTGGCGCCCGAGGCTCTCGTGGGACACGGGGCCCTTTAAAAGGAACATGAGCTGAACCAGGATTCGGGTGCCACGAGAGCGCCAGGTGCTATGTTAAGTGGGAGAATATATTGTTATAGTTGCTCTTTTTGCTTTACCCTTCTAATCATGATCTTTCAGTTTGTTTTACAGTACTGCACAAACCCCGTTCTAAATATTCAGGCCCTTGCACTTTTTGTTTGTTGAAGTTGCCCAGGACGCCACAAGGGATGGGTGTTTTGTGAATTATGCAGCCATCTGTTTCTTCTCTCTAGCGAAGCCAAAAGGGGATGGGCATCTCTACTTGTTCCAGCTTTCCTATCTTGCTGGTGCTCAGTAGGGAATGAGGGAAGGAGCCTGAGGAGTCCCTGAAGGGAATCCACAATGGATTGTTTATAACTAGGGGTCATTCCGTTTCTCATTCCTGGCTGAGCACCAGTAAGCCAGTTTGCTTCGAGGATTTTGTGGAGCTGCACAAGCTGGGCAACGTGAAGAGGCCAAAGCTGCCGCGTGGGGAGACCTGGGCCCAGATCTTCGCAGGCACGGACCCTGCGCACGACGGCAGCCGATACTCCCGGGATGATGGGAGAGGCGACACCTTGGGGCGGATGGCCATCGCAGTGCACAAGGGCCTCTTGGTCAAACACCCAGTAATGCCAAGTTGTCCTTGCTTTTGGAGAGGGTGTTCCCTTTGACATCTTCTTTTTGGAGGGGGTTTCCCGCTAAATTCAACTTCTGACATAAGGTGGAGTCTTTCATGGAACTCCGCTGGGCTGAGGCTTCATGCGCCAACGCGCAAGGACTCCGGTGCAGGGCCCCTTTACGCTGCCTGAGCGGCCGGAGGTGGCATTTATCGGGGCCTCCAACGTGGGGAAGTCCTCTTTGCTCAATGCCCTGACCCGCACGCAGAAGCTGGCGCCAGCCAAGGACGACCCTGGAGTGACCAGGTCCATCGACTGGTACAAGCCCAGCCGCCTGCCGGTGGATGTCATTGACCTCCCAGGCTATGGATACGCCAAGGGCGCGCAGTATGGCCCACTGGTGACAGACTTTGTGTTGCAGCGCAAGTCATTGAGGCCGGGCTATGTGTATTTTTTTCTTGAGTGCATCCCAACTAACGCAAAGGCAGTTTTGCTTTCCAGGCCCCTCTGAAAGTGTTTGTTCATTCTTTTTCGGGGGGGTGCTGAGTGCTAAACGTCCTGTTAGAGGCTCCTGTACTGCTTGGTGGACGCTCGCACTGGCATCCGGCCTTCGGATTGGAATTTTTACGCCCAACTGGGCGATAAGGGGCCTGAGAAAGTCTTTGTACTCACAAAGTGCGACATGGTGGTTCCAAAGATGTTGGCCAAAGTGGCCACGCTGGTGCTGGAAGACATCCAGAGCATCCCGCGGTCGAGCCAGCGACTGATCATGGCGTCTGCCCGTTTGGGCCAAGGCATGCATGACCTCCGCTGTCATCTTTGTTCACGCGCGGTTACAATGATGAGACAAGTGAAGCGTCGCCAAGAGAACGGCGATCTTGCTTGATGGGACCTGCGGCACGTGAACCACATCGTTCCTCTTTCACAGTGGCTCCAAGCCGCCGATGTTTCATCCCAGTAACAACAGAGCCGCGGCGCGAGGGCGACAGCTAGTGGGGGCTTGATCCTGTGGCATGTTGGTTGATTTTTTTGATACGGCGATGTTCAGTATCATGTCTGGGCTTTCGGGGATGGATCGCAAAGCATGAAATGCATCAGCACATACGAAGGTTCCCTCTTGGCACGCATTCAGGTGCATCAGGCTCTTGATGTTCCCTGCCTGGCATCGTGTTTGTCAGCGAACCCATGGAATAGCCTAGCCCTGGCTTCAAGTTTCGGGGCAAGGTTGGGAATGATTTTGGTTGGTTGGGGATACGTACCCCTTGTGCTCATCCAGTGAGATCTTCAAGAACGAACTTCTGAAGTTGCTAGCATGCTTGCTCCCTTTGTGGAGGCGTTCAGCAGAATAACTGAACGGCAAACATCGTTGGTAGGCCCCGAATTGATTTCGAGACAAAACACTGCATGAGCTCGCCCTTTTCGCAATTTGTCTCATTTGGTGGCTTCATTCCATTCTTGGTGGGGAACGCAGTCCCAATTCTTCATCTACCGAACTTGTCACTGCTTGCAAGTCAAAATGTGAGTTTCGGACTCTACTTCGGAGTGAGATGCCGCTTTGGGAATCTTTCTTCCCAATGGTGAAATATCCATTGTCCTAAAGTGTCCAACTCCCTCCCCCCAAAGCTAGAAAGAGAGGTATCCTAGTTTCCTGATATCCGAGGACTCTGTTCAACCTCCTGGGACTCCTGTGACAGTTTATGCAAGTGCCCACAGTGTGGCCACGCGTCTGGAGGGGGTCAAAAGCAAAGCGACGGGCACCGCCTTGTCACATATGCGCCCTAAAAGCAACTCCAGTTTTTCGGGATTCCCTAAGTACAACCCAGAGGGACCGTCGCAAAACAGGAACGAAAAGCGCAAAGCGCCCGAGTTTGGTTCGAACTCGAGGCGTGCTGCCCAGCGTGCTGGCGCTGACCCCCCAGAAGCTGGACTTCGGGGATATCACGGCGGGCCAGCGCCAAGTGCTGCCCCTTGTTGTCAGCCGATGGGCGGCGGGCGGAGCGGATGGATCGCCGATGTCTGTATGGCATGACTCATTGGTGTGTTCATACTTTAGGGTAGACCATATATATATATATATAATTATATATATATATATTATGTATATGTATATATAGGGCAGATTCAGACTATATATATATATTAGGTCACAGTCAGGGGGGTCAAGCTAGGCCAGAGAGCCTGCAGATTCCTTTCCAACCGCAGAACCAAGCGGGTGTCTTGTTCGGAGTTTCTTTTATCGAAATTCCAAGAGGAAATGCCCAACTCGACTATTAACCCCTGAAAACCTTGTGAAGGGCCAGTCCCTGGGCTCATCCAGGGATAGCCCCTGCTAGGGTCCATGACTAGACCCCGTGCTTCTGTCAGACATGGCCCTCGCCTGGCTTTTCCAGATTTACATCAACCCAAGTAAGCCCCCTTACCGACATGAAACCTGCCGGGAATTGAACGATTCACTTGCTAGCAAGTCTTCTTCAAAAGCCTTCATGTTTGTCCTATTCCCCACTTGCAATGTTTGGGCTGCGTTTTAGCTGTATTTCTGACAGCAAGGATCACGTCTGGCTGCTAGGAGAATACTTGTGGCGATGCAACCCTGAGGGCCCTTTGGTACCTTCGCTGCAGGTACTTGAACCCCTTTGTTACCCGACTTGCGCAAGCTTGGGCTTCAATGTATTGGGTGTTGTGACAGTTGTTTAGATCTCCCGCGAACAGAACCTGCGGTTGGCTGGTTAGGTATGCAAGGTATTGATTCAGGCAACCAACTTAGCTTGGCGTTGGCTCGGTACCCTGGTTACTTCACGGTTATTGACATGATGTCTTGTTTGTTTGGTTCAGTTCATCTTTGGTATGGGCTGCAATACAAGTTATTGTTTGTTTTGCTAACATACCTGGGACGAAAATTGAATCTGGCTTGCTCAAAGGATACACGTATTGGTCCAGTTTGATGTTCACTAAAGGATCCTGAAATCAACTTTAATGTTTTTTTCCTGTGAAGATTGTCATGTGTCTACATATATGTATATACTACATACTTGTACTGATTCATGTTTTTTTTTTCCTTCTGCGCACTGCATATAGTTGCATTGTTTGAATGGGAAACCACCCCCTCCAAACCACCAATTCGAGGGAAGTCGATGATGCGTGTGCTTGCTGTTGTTCGCGTGTTGTTTGTAGCGAGTGCTCAGGCCTTTGGTCATCACCAACCTCTCCACGGAGGGTCCACAGGAAGAAAGGGGCCTGCGAACGCGCGAAAGGCCTTCGGAACTCGTTTTGGTGACGAAATATGAAGCATCTCAACATATCATTTGCCGTGTAGCCCAGTGGGACAAGGTGTCGCACTACATGCAAAGGGTTAGCCGGATATACAACTATATAGCCAGTATGTAGAGCGGCCTATACCTCACAGTCTTGAATAAGTTTAAAGTAGCGATTTAGGGGGAGTGGACACCAAATTAGAATTTGCCGCTTCTTCATGTTTTTTGTGTTTTTTTTTGGGGCGGGCAGTGGGGCCCTTTTTGATTGAATGGGCCCAGTCCTTGGAAGGATCTTGGTAAGACTCAGGGAGAAACCACCCCAGACCTCACCAATTCAGCCATTCTGGAAACACGCCCAGTTCAAAGCACGAAATGCGGGTCCATTTGGAGACATTCCCGCTTGGCAGTCAGTTGGAAGGCCTTGGTATCCTTGTGGGCAATTCCCGCAGCAACAAGTTCCAAGATTAATGCTGGTCTTTGGTGTGACCCCAAGGCCCCCTAGAAAAGACATGTTTTTTTCTATAGAAAAGGTGATGGACCTTTTGCTCGTTCGATTCGAGGGTGGAGCGAGCAGCCCTCAAAATGTTGGACCTCCTTTTGTTGCTGCTGACTTGCTTATAACAGTGCATACTACAGTGTTTTCAAGACACCAAGCGGATACCCTTGCCATTTTTTGTGATCCCTAGTTGAAAACGCCCCAGATGTACGATCTGGAAACTAGGGTTTCCTTGTGGTTTCCCTTGAAACACCTATACCCAAAGGGGTAGGCTCCATTCTTTTCAGGCGCATCCATTTCAGTGGTTTCCCAAACCATTGGAGAAAAAAGAAGCTCAATTATTTTAAGGCATTCACCTACCCCCCTCTGGGCCCGGTTTCCATCTAGCTCCCAAGCGGGGGGGCGCGAAGGAGCTGCACATGGAGGCGCTCCCGGAGAACCAGTGCTTCACGGTGCTCAACGCCCCGCGCTCCGTGGGGGATCGGCCCTTCCAGCGCCTCGAATGGGTTGAAGTGCTCCCATGGGTTTGGGGGGGGGGGTTCTCGGGGGGAGAGTCTCTTGATGGTTCAGTCGGTTTGGGGGGGTTGGGGGGGTTGGGGGGAAACGAGACTTGATGGTTCCCATGAACAGAAGTAAAAGTTCCATCACCTGTGGGTTACCTGAAATTGACAATCACCCTCCCTCCCACTAATATACCACCTTACAGGGACCTCGTTCAGGTAATTACCTCCTTTGCAGATGCCAGCTATATGGGAGGAAGGGTGTGTGCTCAAACAGGGTTTTCTAGGTTTCCCCAGTAACCATCACCCCACCTAGAGAAACCTCTTTTAAATTGTTCCTTTTTGGGCCAAACAGAGATGTGTAAAACCATCAGGGGGATAGCTAGAACAACAGGTTTAAGTCTACCTTGGCGTATTCAAAAAATGGGGGGGGGGGCACCCTCTAAGAACCCCCCCCTCCCCTTTTTGGGTTGGATTAATTATACGGTAACCAAATCAATTTTGGAGTTCCCCTCTAGAGGCCACTATTTGGGACCCCTTTGGTTTCCCTTTTTAGCAACCCTCGAAAAGGGGACCACCAGAAAGGGAGGGGTGGACATCGTGTTCGCTTTTGACCTGTCATTTTGCAGTTTGAAATTCACCCGATTGGGGCAGAAAAGCACAAGTATTTGTCTTAGATTGCAAGGGGGCAAGCTGAGACAGGAAGGATCAAACGAAAGGATTAACGGGGCAAGCCAGAACGAGATCGGCAGGTTCGGCTTTTTGTGAAGCGGTTTGGCAAGGGGGGTATAGCAAGGCCTGCGTTCTCCTTCACCATGGTAAATCCAGAAGGCTGCTCACCTGGACCTGAAATGCAAGCAAGGATTGAACTAGGGTTTTCCTTGGCAACCACGTTCACATTTGATCATGTGTTTGTGGCTTATTCACCTCAACCTTTTGCAACTCGGGTTTCCTAAGATTGGCCTTTGGGTTGATTTGACAGCCACCCAAAAGGCCTTGATTGGTCACTCTGTGGATCGTGATGCCGTCTCGTTCGATCCGAATGAGAAGGACCAACTAGCCTCGACCAAGCCAGGGCGTAAAGATAGTTTGTTTCAAGTTGTGCTTTCAATTCGGGGAGAGATGACGTTGTTTTCTCTTTTTTTTGTGTGTCAGGCTTGTGCTTTGTTTGCTGCCAGCCTGTATTGCTCTTTCGACCTTCTTGTTAGGAAACATATACAGGTGTTTGTGCATACTTCTACGGTTCCTTTGTCGTTCAAGGGGGAAATGAGTTTTTCCTTTTCACATCGCCAGTACGGGGTTCCTTTCCTGTAGGAGCCAAAGGGTGATATATCCGTGCTCGCAACTAGGTTCATGATCGAGTTCAAGCCTCAGCTCGTGCAGATCTATCAGTGCATGCTGTCTCTGCGGACACAGAACACCCGTGTGCAGGCCAGACTCCACGGCCTCGTGTCAAGAGATCCGATCCTTTGCATGGCGTTGTCAAAATTATCCTACGGGGTTGGCGGGGGTCATGGACCGAACTTGGGGAACTTTTCTTGCTGGTGCTCAGTAGGGATGACCCAGGGTGTTGGGAATGAGCCTAGGGATTCCCTTAAAGTAAACCACAAGGGATGGTTCATGGGGGTCATTCCATTTATCGCTTTCCAAATGGTTGATCTTGTCTGGGAGGCAGCAGTTTTGGGACTCTGGCTGCGTGTGTTGAACCGGGGCTGCGATCGAACTGACTCTTGGTAAAGACTGTTCTCCATGTCAGCCACGTCATGAAACAACGGTCGATGGTTGTGTTTTTCAGGGAGCCCACAAGCCACCAATAAACTCCATATGTTTTGGCTCCCCTGTAGCTGGGGCTTGCGGGACCCTGCAACTCCCCGGCCCTCGTTGGGTCGATTTGGCCTTAATTCACCCTTTAATTGTTGGCAGGCTTTGATATGGATGGTTTGGAGGGTCCAACTCTCTTCCCCTGATCGGAACATCAAGTCAGGTGAGCTTCCTGTGATGTGTAAGTTGCAAGGAGCTCCTGATTCTGGCGACCCTCAGTCGAATTGCTTGAGCGATTCTTCAGACTTGCGAGGGCGCACTTAACAATGGCAAGCCCCTTGCTGAACCCAGAAGCTCCTTTGGGACATGAGGATGGCTTTTGCAGGGTTAAAAGGAGTTTAAGTTCTCAAAACATTGGGCCCTTAGGGTCACATTCGAGGCCAATGGGTTCGAGGTCACCTGCGTTGTCAAAAGTTGAGGAGGCTTTCTGCTCAATGAATCTGTACCCGGGGTCTTCCCAAAAAATATCTTAGGGTAGGCAAAATGTGTGAAAGAGTCACAAAAACAAGTCTCTGTGCACCCCAGATGTGAGACACGGTATCCTATGTCAACCCAGTATTTTCAGAACCTCTGAGAAGTACAGGAAACTCTGCAGGGAAATCCAACTGTCTTTGGGTATTTGGCCAATTTCCTGTAGAAAAATCCGGTAGTTTCTCACCGGTCCTGGAAGGTTCCGCTGCGGGGCAAGGGCGTGTGCCCTGTGCTGAAGATCGAGCCCCAGGAGCCGCACTTTGCTCTTTGTGGGCTGAAAGTAGGCACCCCGCGCCTTGTCACCCTTCGGCCCATGAGGGAAGCCTCAGGGGCCCAGGGGTTTTAGGGGACATATCGGGTATCAGGAATTTGGGTGTCCCAACATGGGAAGCGGAACGTTTGTTCCACAACCCCAAAATGGCATTTGCAGTTACGTGAAAGTAGATCATCCCAAATACGTACTTAAAGGGAATGGTGCCAACTAGTTCCCTGATCAAAGGGCTGAAGTACAGGCTCGCAAAGGAAGCTGGGTTGCATTGTGCTTTGCGAAGGGTTTCTTGGTACCTTCTAAGGAAGAACGTTCACCCCCTCCAACCCCCCCATTGCCATCATAAGGGTGAGGAAACTCCTGGGCTTTCCATGTAGCTTGGTAGACATTGAATTTGTGATGGTACTGCACCACCGATCAATGGCGTTGCCCTCGACGCCCCGGCTAGAGGATGGCTAGAGGGGTAAGCCGATCGATTGCAAAAAGACGGCTCACTTCCTGGACATGAAATTTGGTAGAAACAGGTTTGGGTGGTGGAATTGTTCTGATCAATCCACTCAGGAAGTGAGCCTCAATCGAAACCCGGGTAGATTCGATGAAGGGTAGTCGGGGACAAGGTGCGGCCGCCCTGTTGATTCTGTACATGGTGTTGGGCGGTAGATCCCTTTAGCACCTGGTTTCGATTGTAACTAGAGTGAAACACCCTGTGTGTTGGAGAATCTTGAGGGCAGCCCCCATGCATATTGCACCCTCACAGAGCGATGCCCCCTGGCAGGCGTACTGACATGGGGAACCCCACAACGTAGGTCCAGGCCCACAAAATGTCGCGGGGTGTCTCTCAAAATTAGCGACTACAAATAGGTTGCTTGTATTGATTTGCAGGGCAGCTTTTGGAATCCATATTTTGAGACGCATTTCTCTACCACTGCTGGGCTTGCTTCTTCCATGGCGAGTTTCAATGGTTGGAGCACCATCATGTTGCATAAATCTGACCATATATGTTGGATGTTCGATGGTCCATGTCCAAGGAGTCGAACCCACCCGTGATGAAATCCGGGTAATTGTAAACGCTTCGCGCTGCCTGCCTCGGCCAGTCTAAGCGCAAGTGGAGCCAAGAGCAATGGGCTGGGGCTGTGAAGGCCAGAGCCACACCCATTGCCCTGGGACACGGGCCGAGGCTTCAAGCGGCCAGCCCGCTCAGAAGTTGGTTTTCCAGGCTGCCAGCCTAAAACCAAGAAAGCCACCTGCAAAAAAAAATGGCAGGTGGTTGTGCAAAGTCGAATCTTTGCTGGTGTTTTTTGCTTGTGTTAAAGCACCACCAGCCCATCAAACGGTGGGTTGCATGTTAGCAGCGCGGGGGTGAGAACTGTGTGTTGGGAACTGTGTGTGGGGAATGATCCAGCAGCTTCTAAACTGGGCTGGTCAGGCAGGCCGGGCTGCGGTCAAGGCCAGCCTCAAATGGCACCTGAGCTGAGCTGGGGCTATGGGTCAGGCGCGGGTAAAACAAACCAGAGACAGTCTTTGCCAAGACTCCGCTTTTAACACTTGTTTGCTTTTTGGCTTGACCGATGGCTGGGGCTAGACACTGCGTGGCCAGCGTGGCGACAAGCTGCGCGCTGGGGGTACCGCGCCAGAGCTACAGCCGTACTCCAAAAGCACGGGCCGAGACCAGGCGAAACCGTGGCACTACGGGCAGGAGCCAGCCGCGGTTTAAGGGCAAGGGCTGGAGAAGCATTAGCCACAGCCGTAGTGGGAAGATCCCGATGATCTAAGGAGGGGTCTGACCGCTTCCCGGCCCAGGGGGCCGAGGCGAATTCTGCTCAGCAAAATGCAGAGTTTTCTGTCACCTATCATTCTTATGGCTGGTGATTTTTCCTGGTTAGCAGGATCTCGTGTACCCACTTTGCAGGTGTACAAGGTTGGGGGGCAGTTGGGAAACCTTCCTCCCTTGTTTGGCAAACAACGCCCTCTATGTGAGGTACCCAATTTGTTACCTCATGCCACTTTTCCAAGTGCCTTTTTTAGGTTCACAAAACATGGCTGCCAACACCCCTTAGCCTTTCTACCTGGGGGGTGAAGCTGTCTTATGTAAGGTTTCGATTGGTGTGAGGGGCACTTATTGGCAGGATGGCGTGATTCATATGGGCTCCGTCGTGTACAACAAGGAGGCGAAGGAGACATCGCGCACAGACCTTGGCACACAAAGCACATATGTACATCCTATGGGTCCTAGTTGCCCACATGCAAGTACAACTACACTTTATTTTTGCAAAGTCTCCGGATCTGGTGAATCCACAAAACGTAGTATGTTGGAAGAAGGGGCAACGAGACAGCGTTAAGATACTGCTTTAACAAACATTCACTCCGCGCATCTTCTGCCACCAGCGCGCTGCAAAGCAGCTGGCCGAGTTGCAGAGGTTTTGCTGGTGGACGCTTCCGCATTGCTTCTCAGCTGCGTAACTCCATCATACTTGCTTTGTACCTTGGATGGCTCATACTATCGCCTTGTGTGTGTGGCTTACGTGGCAGGATTACACCACCAACAAGCTGGTCATCAAGAACGAAAGCCCGTTCGAGCTGGTCTACAAGCTGGAGCAGCTTGATTCAATCAGAGTGCAACCATGCACTTGCTTTTTGGTTTGAACACGCGTACAATTTCCCCCAACCTCGTTTGCAGGAGAGGGGTTGTTTGGATCCATGAGACAATGCCATTTGCATTTGTGTTTGTTTGCCAGCTCTAATTGCGTGTTGTTTTATCGACACCAAGGTGAAATTGTGAGCTAGAAGCACTGGGCCCCTGATTAAGCCTAAAGCCACCTCGCACACTGCAAAGCTTTACCAGGACAGTGATCCGCGGCGACCGCGGGCCACCACCCTTCGAGCTGGAGCCACGCACGGCCACGGTGGCGGACCCTCGGCGAAGTCACCCACGGTGTCCGTTGAAAGTGCAACCAAGAGGAACTCAGCAATTTGGGCGGTCCCCTATTTTGGAGACAAGCCCAAATAGTGGTTGATGACCCTCGAGGGCCTTTGACCCCAAAGACCTCGAAAAGGGTTTTGGACCCCCTTACTCATAAATCCTTGTCAACCCTGTTTGCAAACAAGCTGCAGTCAGCGGAGTACTAAATTCGCAGTTTCTGGCTTGCTCTTGATTTGTTGTTTTGGAATGGCAACCATTGGAACTACGAATGGCAACCATTGGAACTACGAAAGGCAGTAGTATTGGCACCTGAAGTATTGGCAGAAGTATTGGCAATTGCTCTTATAGCTCAACATTGTGTTCATAGTTTGGGCTTTTGAGGAGGGCAGAAAGGGGCATCATTCTTTGAGTATTGTGTTGTGCCAGCCCAACATGGATCGCGGGAATTGTTTCGCCAAAGTAGGTTTGGCTTGCAGTAGGCCAGAACAAGGAACCACGGTTTGTGGAAGTTGGGTTTGGGGCTACTGTCTATCATTCCGAGGGAGTCCCCGTTAAAATGAGAAACTCGTCATGAGAACAGGCCACTTTGGTATCAGAAATTGTCATTGCCCACAACCATGCAAGGTAGTCTTTAGCCACTGGGATTTATTCACCGGTTGGCAACGTGATAGCACCCCTAAACAGGCCCCTTACCATGTCACTTGAAGTGGGTCGGTTTCATGTTTTGAAGAAAGGCTGTGCCAGATGTGGACACGTCAACAATATCAACCTCATTTTGAAAGAACCCAAGCTTGTTTGTGGCTTCTCGCTTCGTCCGGAAGACGAGTATATCATGGATACTGAACAGAAGGCGCCAGTGGGAGGGCTCCTAGAAGATCAATTTCCTCACAAATAATATGCAATCCCCCCCCAAAACGGTTGATTCTCTTTGGTCTTCCCTTCAAATGCCAACCACAAGGGGTCCGAGATCCATGTTGAGCAACACACAAGTCAGCTGGAAGCTAACAAAAGATGCCGAGCAAATCGCCAGTGCCTCAAGTTGATTTCAGCTTCTCGGAACATACCGAAGACAATCACAGAATCTGATAAGAACCGCCTGAAACACAATTTTCCTTCAGTTCTTTTCTGGGGTAGCCTGTGGTTAGCCTATCTGGTTCAGATGTCTGTATAATATTTACTCTAGCACAAATAACTCCAGTTTCGGGAGAGGCCGCAAAAGACTCAGCTGCGTCTCTGGTCGGGCACTTTTGGACTCCTTTTGGACTCCAGGCCTATTGAGGTGGATTCCCAGGCCAGCCTCCAATCCAAAGAGAGATAGAGAGAGCTGAGAAACGACCCAAGTCGTCGCACTCTGAGGCGAACAGCTCGCTCAATGCGCCTCGGCTGGACTGGAGCAGAGCTCCCTGAATTTCCCTTGTCGCCTTTTGTTGGGACCATGGAAATGCCCTAGAGGTCTGAGGCGTTTCTTGAGACCGAGGATCCCGCAAAAAAGTGGGGGGCAGTTCTTCCCAGTTTTCTTGGCATGGCTGGGAAAGTAATGTTTTTCCCATTACGTTGGCAAACGGTGATCGACCTTTTGCTCAGAAGTGGCCACGGTCATAACCTATGCCTCCATTTTGGGGCGGATGAACAGCCATGTACCACCTATTTTGATGTTCATCAGGGGTACAGGGTTTTGACCCGCAGCCAAGTGTACCTGAACATTTCCTTGAAAGGCGACCCTGGCCCTTCTCAACCCGCTGTCAGCAGCAGAATCATCTTGAATGCTGTGTTGACAGAGGACGTCGAAGGGGGCTCAGTTGAGGTTTGGTCAAAAGTTATAGTTGTGGTCCATTTGGGAGGAACATGAGCGCTCACGAAGTTTCTTCACAAAAAGGCAGGGGACTCACTAATTGTCGCTCCCAAAAGAAGGAGGATTGACGGGTGTGGCTATATTGACATGTTTCAAGGTTGCTGCTCGTTAGCGGCTAGAGTTAAGCTTTACGGTATATCCCAAAATTGCTGACTCGTTGTTGGCTGGTGTTAAAACTGAACCAAATGAAAGCAACTGGGTATGCGTCAAACTAGAGGAATCCCAAGAATGGAAGCTGTCCCCTTGATTTCCATGTCAACCAAGGTATAATACAGCACATACCGACTAGCTTTGTGTGCCCCCACTAGGTTGCATATCTGGAATGCTAGGAGGCTGCCTAGTGTCTTTTGATAGGTGGGTAAATGTTGTTGACATTCCATTCAATTCACGTACCTCTCAATGAATGCATCATGATCAGTGTTTCTGCTTGCTTAACAACGTTCGTGCCACGGGCGCGTTTTTTTTCTCGATTGGTACCCGTTCCAAGGTTGGTTTTGAAACACACATGAATTCTTCCCAGTTTAGAGGCTCAACTTGGAGACAAGCCCATAGGCGCGATGAAGCCTTAAGGGTTGCTTGGTTCCTTCCGAGCCATCCTCACAAAGGACCGGAGGTTCCCTGTGTCCCAGCACCTTGCGGAGTTGGACCTGGTTCTCGAGATAGTTCTTCAACCAACATCAAATCCGAACATGTTGTGGCCAAAAAGGTGCTCTTGAACCCATCCAATCCATCAACAGCATGTTTGATTCATTTTTCATTCTGATCCCCACATTGTTTTTTGGTTTTCCTTTGTTGACATCTACCAATCCGTGTGAGAGGGCCCCGGTACGAGTCACTACCCAAATGGCCATAGGTCAAAAGCACGTACCCCCAGTGAACATCCCAATCCCCACTAAATTAGACTAAAATGGGCGGTGCATTTACCCCAAAATGGTACCATTGGTGTTGACCCACAGCCAAATTTTCCAAGGGGCTCCCGTTCTCCTCGCGTTTTCTCTCTCCGAGCGATGCGCAGGTCACAGTGACCTTCCGGCCTCGTAGACCCAACACCATCTTCCGCGAAAAGGTGTTGGCCTGGTGCCCATGGTCGGACATCGGGGACCGGTGCGGTGGACATCTGTGTTCCATGGGGATTTATGTCTACACCCTTTTTCAGGGGGTTCCTCAAAAGTTGATACCCAGGTGTCAATAGAAACGGTTCAGAGTGATCAAATCTTAGGGCCCACAACCGCGGATGGTCTGATGCCGCCACATTTCCTGAGGGTTGAGGGAGATTCGAGTCTTTCTTTTCCAAGTCAGGCTTCCTCAAAACATGTTGAGGGACCTCACAGCTATCCTCCAAGATGCCCCCCCCTTTTGGGGCTTTGTAAGCTTTGGGCCCAAATTCGAACCCAGTTTAAACATAATTGTTCGAGCCGCAAATATAGGTGGGGAGCCTTCAGGCGTATGAATCCCATTCAATCCCCATGTCAAGCATGGTTGATTGGGCCAGGGGGAATTTCGACCCCTGGAGTTCCCATATTTGTCAACAAATGTGTCCTGAACTGAATGTTGATGGACCTGCAAGTGGGGTATTCTTGGAATCCTTGGCTACGTGGATCAAGATAAAGCCCCTAATCACACATTATCAAGGGTATATGTGTATATGTTATAGTATACATCTATGTATACATATTATATATAAATAATCATATATTTATTATTATATTTATAACAAGTATGATTATTAGTACTGCTATTATTGTGATAATGCTGATTATTCTTATTACTTCATTATTATTATCATTACTAGTATTACTAGTATTATCATTAGCATCATTATTATAACTCTATTTTCTATTATTACAATAATAATAATAATAATAATAGTAACAATAACAGCATATTATTATCATTACTATGATTATTAGTATATACTATAATCATTATTATGATTATTAGTATGTTTATTGTTATTATTATTTTCATTAGTATCATTATGTTATTCTTATTATTATTAGTATTGTTATTGTTATTCTCATTATATATATATACATATGTGAGCTATATGAGTCATATGAGCCTTGCGTTTCGCCTGCACTTTGAAAGGGAAACAAATGGAAGCAGACAGGAGTTGCTGCATACCACACGCGCAACGCTTACTAGAAGACCAGTTGCCAACAGCAGGCCGAGAGGAGCAACACAACCGGCGAGTGCCGCGGAGGGTTGGCGGAAGCTCCGCGGGTCTGCAGGCAAGACGTAGCACTGGTGCACAAACACAGGTGGAACATCCATCACTTGGGCTAGTTTCTAGCCACCCCAGCTCGTGGTCAGATGATGAAAGCCAGTTGCTGAGTAGTTGCAGAAACAAAGAGGCAACAGCTTTGCTGCGAAGCAAAGTTTGAACAACGTAGGCCGCAGAAGGACGCGAAAGAGACCGATGAAACACATGTACCGCGGAAATCAGCGCAAGGAACCTTTGGGCGCGCTGAAGCTGAAAGGGATGCAGAACAGTCTCGGAAACTTGAACACGGTCCTTAATCAAATTTGAAGGCCATAACACCAACGTTCATCATGTGGCCTATGTTAAGGGCCTTTGTTGTCGTTTGCAATATTTAGAGGGATGTTGAGAAAAAGCAACGTGAATCTTTACAATGTTACAACCTTTGCCCTCTGTGTGAACACGATGCCTTTCTGGCCCCATGTAAATTTGCAGGGAGTAAGCCGAAGGTCATTTCTTTGCATGATTCATGAACTTACGTGCCTCTTGAAATGAAATCTCGGTAACTCAAGACGTGCAGTTTGCTCACAGTGTCTTGACTGCTGCCCTATATACATGTATATATTATTATATATATATACCACTTCGAGAAAGCGCAAGAAGATCAGCAGTGGCCACCCTCCAAGAGAGAACTCTTCTGCTTGGCGGTATGGACTGAACTGTGAACCTCCAGATGGATGTGACGCTCTCGGACACCAAGGTTTCGAAGCCCAGTCGCATTGACGGTGTTGCAGAGCCAACCAGTTCTGACTCGCTGAGCGTTCTGACCGACATCGTCACCTGCATCCTTAGCTCCTTGGGCGTGCCGAATCCTCTGCGACTTCTGGCAAAGCGGAAGCCGGTGGCCCGAACGAGACGTGTTGCCCTTGGTGGCTAGCATATGATATATATATGTACATATGGTATCCAGTAGATTGTGGGTAGGTTTTGGGTGGAAAAGGGGTAGGTTGTGGAGGGGGGCTTAGCATATATTATAGATACACGCACACGTATACAAGTGCGTCTCTCTGTGTGTGTGTGTGTCGTATGTCTTGTGTTGTGTGTTGTGTGTATGCGTGTATGTGTGTGTATGTGTGTATGTGTGTATTGTGTGTGTGTGTGCTTGGACGGATAGTTGGCGCATGCCGGCCATTGGCGTGTAATTCTATATGACACCGAGCTCTTGCTGACGGGCCTGCAGAAAAGCGACCCAACACAATCTTCGGCAAACAAGTCCCAAGTTACAACAGTAAAGATCACAAGAAGCAACAGGAAATTCCACAAGAAGTTGGCTTTCCAGATACCCATCAACAACAAGGCTGTTGTTGCATAAGTTGTAGCTTTCTTTGAAGTGCGAGCTCGGAACTTCTGGGACCATCAGCGCTTGACCGAAACCGCTTAGCCAATGGACAACTTTGATGGAAAGTATGAGCATGGCATGACGACAACAAACTTGAGCTTTGTGATGATGCAAATCATGTTCTACATGTGTATGTGTGTATATGTATGGACTGTACTCAGACTGTCTTGCATTTATGGCATGTCCTTATTTCAATTCAAGCATCATTGCGTGGGATGTGTTCCTGCCATCCAGTGATCCAAACAGTTGCCTTTTTTCAGGTAAACCAAGGGGGCCACAACGAGGGGACCACCACGTTTGCCCGCCCCTCCGATTGGACGGATGGACCCCTCGGGGCAAGGTCAACGTGCCCAACCAGCGCGAGAAGACCTATGAGCCTCGGCCGGAGCGACTGCCCCGACAGGTGTGGAAGCCTTTTCGGTCAAAGGAACTACCCTCGCCACCAATTGACGTGGAACCTGAGTCTCGGGAGGTGGAAGACCATTCTGCTTTTGAAGGGACCAATTCCCGGTCAGGTTCCATGCTAATTGGTGGGAGGGCAGCTTCCTGCCCTGGATGTGCCCCAGCGTTGAAGTTGGGGGTACCAAACATGTGTAGATTATGCAAGGGTCCCTCCTCTCCGTACATTGTGCTCTTTCCACGAACGAACCATGTACGCGGAAGAGTCTTGTATTGGGGCGTACGCAACCAATCATGCATTATTCAAGGGATCAGCAGCGTCGGCAGTACACTCCCTGAAGACCCAAAATAATAAGTTACTTAGGTGCTTTCAGACAGTACAGCACTATTTGCTTCTAGATCAACGGAAGACCTCCCAAAGGTATCTTTACCACCTGGGGCAACCTCGGAACCATGCTAAACCCACCTCAACCGAACCTGAACCCACCCTGACCCAACCTGACCCAACCTGAATGAATCAAATTTCCCCAAATCCACCGTGAACCAACCCGACCTGAAGCCCTACCGACAACCCCCATGCAAACCCTACACCCATCCTGAATTAAACCCCTTCACACCTTTGTCAGAAACCAGCTCTGTGTTACCTCATCCCGTCCTAAACCTATGTCATCCAAGCCTAAGCAACCCTTTTGCAACCGCAAATTTATGAACCCCAAACAGGAGCCCTTTTTCTGCACCTGGGGTTCGTGGCCCAAAATATTAGGGACCACAGGACATCATTTGGATGTGGACGTATGATTTGTTTGAGGGGTTGCCCTTCAAAAGTCCATAGCCATATATAAACCTGTATTTTATACGTGAGCCAGCATTGCTGGGCTCTCCTCCAAAATTATCTAATAGTTTGGGTAACTATGAGGCGGATTTTTGAAAGTACTACTTTCTGTGTACCTCAGATGTGGGCCAAGATTTGGTAAGAACCTGAAGGAGCCCTCAAGCTTCTCACTGGCCAAGGTCTACCTCTATGGGCACTGCTTCAAGTACCAGGCTTGCACACTCGATACTTGGCACCCGATGTCTGGGGTGCCAGGAACATTACGCCGTGATGAATGCTGGAATCGTGTTTTGTTGGAGTTGTTGGGTTAAAGATTCTACACATGACCAGGAATCGTAGAGTTAGCTGCCATACTGACGTGCGGCATCCCCGGAACTTTCTAGAAACACCTGCCGGGCACCGTGTGCGCAAGCCTTTGCTGCTCTTCATGCGACAAAGGCCCCAAACCATAAAAATGCGAGGTGAGCGCAATGGCCAGCGGCGCCACCTGTATTTTTTCTTACAGTGTGCACGAACCGGGGTTATTGGGGAATGGCACTCAACGGTATCTTCTTTGGTAGGGAGTTTTGCAATGAGCAATTTGTTGTGTTTGCCGTAAAGCTATCCAACATGTGCCAGTAAGTCTGTGCATGTGCTGATCACCTTTGTTGGAAGTAGAGATCCCCAGACCCCCAGTGGTGGCCTTTTGTCCCTTTGGTTGAAGGGAGTTCCCTTTGAAATCAACGAAGAAAAGAGTGCCTTCGCGCCACAAGCAAGCATGAGGCAAGCACGCAAGAAGCTAACTCGCCAGCCAGTTGGCCAGCCAGCCACCCACCCAGCCAGCCAGACAGTCACCCAGCCAGCAAACCGGCAAACCAGTCAGCAGCAGCACGATCCATGACCGCATTAAATAAATATCGACATCATCATCAACAACGCCGTCCATCATCAGCGTCAACAGAAACACAATCCTCCTCATCATTATCATCATCGTCATCGTCATCATCCAACATCAGCATCAACAGAAAGCATAAACATACATTGAGTCGCAAGGGTAATTTGTCGTTCAGATTCAGGCAGCCGCGTCCATTTGCCAGGCCTACGGCCTGTATGGCATGGACTTTACTGCCTTTGGCCGCGAAGAGGCCACCGCGAAGGCTCGGTCGAGAGCGCTGAGAGGAGAAGCGACGAAAGTGAAGCTATCCCCTAAATGCAGAATGGCGTATGGAGTGCGCTTTATATCATACCATAATCACTGCATATTGTAAGTGCAAGGTAGAGTGTAACATATAGGTGTGTGTATAATATACACACATGCATGCATACGTACATACTCATGTAGTAGCATAGTGATCATACGCCCCATTGTTTTTTTTGGTGGTTCGTGGCCAGTGGCTTCGAGCCAGAAGCCATCTTAGATCAAAAGCAAGCCCTTATTGTTTTTGAGGAGGAAGGCAGGAAACATGTGGTGAGCAATGGAATACCTCTACTTGCGGTTGTTTTCAAGAGCCAAAATGGATGCATATGCTCGATTTGGCTCTTGCTTCAAGATTGGGAGCTTCCATCAGCTGGACCCCCATTCTAAGTGTTGAGGCCCTGATAGTACTGACCCAAAAACCTTTTAACTGCGAGGATAACCTTTTTTTAATACTCGCTGCGCAATTAGATTATATATATATAATACATATGTATATCCGTAGCTTCAGTTTGGGGGTGGCAGAAGCCCTCCAAGCGGGTGAATATTCTTAAACTCATCCCATGGAGCTTACATTTCATTTTGAGTTTTTTTTTTTGGCGTTGGGGTTTACGGAGGGTTTTGTTTACAATTAGCAACAGTTTTGGTTTCACTGCATTGAGTTTTGTTTGAACACACTGAAGCTCCAGCCCCATGTGTTTGTTTTAAGCAAAACACCTCTGCTCTGTAAGCGAGCGTTTCAGCAACTTTGGATCGACATTCCAGTAGTTCGAATCGCGGGCCTTTGCGAGCGCGTGTGCGAGGCAGCCTTCGTCGACTCCCTTGCGGTAGGCGCGTTGGAAAGTGTATTGCGGATCGCTGTGGTGATTTCCGCGTGTTACCAAGAGTTTGTTATTGGATTATGAGAAGCATTTCCCAATTGTTAGTTTGAACAATGGACACGGATGGGAACCATTTGGACTTGTTAAGAATAATAATAATGTTCAATTTCCCCTAAAGGAAACTAGTAGGGGATGGATAATTGTTATTTTCCCAGGCCTCTTCATCACCTAGATTGCTGATTTGGCAGCTAGCCACTCTTGCTTTGGAGTTGGCACGGTTGTTTTGAAGGAAAGCCAAAGGAAAAACACCCATTTTGTCGAGTTGTTCAGTGGATTAGCGGCTCCTTAAATCTCTTGTTGTTGGCTTGGTGGATTCGCCTCTCAGCTTGAACACAACCCGAAAAGCAAAAGCGATTCCCAGTTGCAACCAGGGTCCCTGGGCACCTGGATGGAGCAGTAGAGGCGCTGAAGCAACACATGAGCAGCGCTCAAATCCCCTGGTGCCCAATTTAGCAATTTCCTGGGCAAGGATTGCGGCGAGGGCCATGATATATACACTATATATATAGATAGATTAGGGTACATATGACAACATATCGGTAGCACCAACACTTAATGTTCTGCCCGATTCACCTCAACGCCTGGATAGGTAGGTATCAAAACAATCAGTACCCTTTACAGCAAGCACACACACACACACCGAGATTCGCCGCCACACAGCGAGCCGATCCCAGCCGTCCTCAACTACCACCTGATCAGCATCATTTTAGAGGTGTGGTGCGCAAGCCTCGCGAAACCCAAGACGGTGCCCATGGATGAAGAGACAGGGTTCGCCGCTTGAGAATTTCGTGCGGCACATCTACGAAACCGTCCGCTGTGCATTGTGACGCTCATGGCACGAGGGTCCTTGCGCAGAGGGACCCTCGGACGGCATCACAGCGACATCTTGCTCGCCGGCGCCGCTGCCAATGCGACCATTTCCGTTTTGGCAGCAGAATTGCACTCTTTCCAACTATAATTAATCCTAGCGCAGAGGAAGGTGAACACTTTCACAATTGTTGGACAAAGGGTAAAGTGAGTTGGCCCCTCTCTATGTGTAGAAATCCCCAGAGGGTCCCTGTATTTCGCCATGTTTGTGGATGTAACGGTATGGATTCGTTGATCAGCAACAAGTCGGTAAGATATGTTAGGCTGGCATAGCAGGCTTTCATGTTGGTTCCCTTTTGGCATGAGCCCGCCAGACTGTCATTGCTTCACTCCAGCGTCGTTTTACGGGGGTCTCCTCCAAAATAAACAGGGTAGACTGCATACTGGGCTGTGTGTTTGTTTTCGGGGACGCCCAAAATCGTGGTGTTCCTCTTTGCTTCCCTTTAAAGCCACCAAAGAGACACCAATATGGAGCAGACCGTCTGGGGGCACATGGAAAGAACGACCTCAGGGTGGACTGAACATGGAACAACGTCTGGAAATATTGTTTTCTTCTTACCCATGGGGCAAATGTTCCCTTTACCGTTGTTGAAGTACCAGCAGGCAGGGTAGGTGGCCCGATGTGCGATTTTTGAATGCTTGGAATGTTGGGTCTGAAGCTCTCCACAGCGGATTGAAGGGGCTTGATGCTTCCCTTAAGCCTTCAACAGGAATCCCCTTTGTAGTGGTTGGTTGGTTGATTGGTTATTAGTTGGTTGGTTGATTGGTTGTTTGGTTGGTTGGTGGGTTGGTGGGTTGGTGGGTTGGTGGGTCGGTTGGTCCTGCATCTTCATTTGAGCAAAAAGAAGTGCGCACAACGGGAAAGTGCGCGTTTCAATCAACAAACGCGCAAAGTTCCAAGAACTGCGCAAGGCGTTGTTTTGCTGGTTTGGGCAAAGGATGGCAAAGGTGCGGGGTGTGTATAGCCTGGGCATGCACCTGTCAAGCTGTTCAAAAATAACTTGCGCCTTTTCGGCCAGAACTCGCCTAGATGATCCAAGGAACCAAATGGCATTTTGGCTATTGACCTGCGGAGCGTTGTCGGGAATAGCCTTCAACATTGCCAAGCCAGCTTGACAGTCAAGGGAAACAAGTTTCAGATCCTTGATTGCAACAGATCCGAACGGCTCTTCCAAGTGGCGCAGCTTCAACTGACGACCACATGTGGCTCAAAACTGATCTTTTGGTTGGCGGGTGCTTTACATCGTCTGCCTAATTCAAAGGTCGAAAACGCGCGCATGCATGCGCACACTTTTCGTATTTGTGCGCAATTGCGGATATTTGCGCGATAGTACCGGATTTTTGCGCGCAAATTGCGGGCTGGCAAGGTGCCGGAAATCGACTAATTTCACCTAATAGGCGACTTGTCTCAACAACAAGTGTGGCGCAAGCACAGTTCTGGTGCAAACAGCGGATCCGTGCAAACCCAGGCAATACTTGCGAGCTTGGAGCTATTTGACGGAGCCAAGCGGGTTGCTAAATCAATGGCCACAAAGTGTCAAGTGCAAGTGATAGCTGGTATTTGTGCCGGGTGCATGTGTGCCACAAATTTCCTGCCTAAAACAAGCTTGGGTGGAGACAAAAGAAGAGCTAGATATTCTGTAAATATCAAGGACTTCAACAAACAGCTGCGCCGGCACGGGCACGAGCAGCGCAGTATCGATTGTTTCCACAAGTAGTACCTACTTTGGCTACCAGAGGAGTTTCATCCGAAAAGTGCGCAAATCCCTCAAAAGTGCGCAAATTGCAAAATAAGCGCGCAAAGACACCACAAAACGCGCAATCAAGCATTTGAGCAGAAAAAAGTGCGCAAACAAAGATTCAGGGTTGTTTGGTGGGTTGGTTGGTGGCTTGGTGGGTTGGTTGGTTGTTTGGTGGGTTGG